ACTCAGGTCAGCAATTTCTGACATTGCCAGTGAAGCAGACGACCCAATACTATTATGGACTACTGGACTCTTTTAGAATATTTTGCCGAGTTCACATACCTATAATATTCAAATAATGAAACTAAACTAAAAAAGGGGATACAGATGAATGTCCATTTTGTATCTGTGTATTCAAAGTGGTTGGGATAGATATATAGCTACATTCTCTTAATGAATAGAAGGATTTGTTCTAATGGTGTTTGCAAATCGGATATCAGGTCCGCATCTTGCACAGCAATTAACCACTAGGAAGAATGTATGCAATGTGTTAATCATTGAAACTGTCCTACCAATTTCGTTTGAAACTGTCTCATTGCTATTTGTTTCTCAACAAAATTATGGAAAAAAAATTATTTTGAGATGGGATCACCACTGCTAGTCTACTCAAACAGCAAGGAACATTTTTTTAACAACAGAGTCTGAGTAGGCAGGTTTTCCTAGAACTCGGGGCAGGAGAAGAGGCAATATCTCCAGCTGCCGCACTGGATTTTGTGCCACCTCTTGAGCTGTAATATCGACCAGGGAGTTTCCTCTTTTGTCCTGAGGTCTGGCCCACGTGAGGAGCATCTGTCTCTCTCACACTTGTGATGTCTCTTGTCTTCCGTGCTGTCTCCTTGAGGTCCTGGCCCTGTCTGACTGCCTATAATATTTTTATCTAACTCGGCTGCCTGCAATACTCCCCCCTCTGAAGAAGTAACCCAAACTGCCATGAGGGAACCGTGGGTGATGAGCACTCTGGCTTCTTCAGGCTGAAAGGGGTCGTAGTTATTGAATATCTCTGGCAGTCAGAGATATTCTCCAGAGGTTCTACCTAAAGGCCCTCAATAGACACCAGGCATTTTTATCTTGGGTAGGTGGAATAGCTTTAAATCTGGAGGAGTGTGCCAGGTTTGAATTAAATAGAGATGGAGACTAGAATGATTAGAATTTAGTGAGCCTTCATTAGCCGGTCTGGTGGCTGGTCAGCAACTTCATTGGTGGGGAAGCCCCAACCAGCACTGACCTATCCTTTGTCCTAGTCTTTTGTAGCAGAAAATCACAGCTGGGCCAGAAAAGCTGCAAGCTATTTAGAGCTAAGGGAATTTTACAGCTTGATGACAAGGGAAACTTGCTCCTGTTAAACTGTTTTTACAAGGTTAGGGTGTGGGTAACACAAACTTTGAGCTATAAACTTTAGGCATTTATCTAACTCTAAGTTCACACTAACGTTTTGATGAAGGGATGAAACAAAAAAACGAGGCACCAGTTGGAGAAGCTGTTACCTTAGGCTATTTCACAAGGAACAGTTGGGGTGAGGATACATGCATACATATTGTGGGGCAGGTAACAGGAAGCAATTCCTGGTGAGGACAGACTTTCTCTTAGAAATGTTTCACCAAAACAGGAAACTCTTTGTCCAACTAACCCATTACAAGGTGACAAAGCCAAAGAAACAATCAAACATGTGTAGGCCAAATAATAACTTCAACAGGATACAGTAATCACTTAGCAGATCTGGAATGTAATAACTTTTTTTATCTTGTGCCAGACCTGGGGAAAACGCTGAGTGTTCTCCAGTTTGCAAGTGGGCCCCTGACTGGGTAACTACTAATAAATCTGCATGAGCATCTATTAAAAGTTTAATAGGCTTTCTCTTTATATTGGCAGTTAACATGGGTTCCCTCAGGCTGAGAGGGGAAGACCCATGACACCTTGATCTGAAGCCTCCTCTGACTCCATAAAACACTTTCTTTTTCCTCTCTAGCAGTTTTGGACATTTTTTTTTGTTTGAAACATCTCTTTTCTCTGTCTGGATCCAGGGAAGCATAAATTTTTCCCCCATTTTCTGACTAGCCTTCGTTCCGATAGGCTACAGGTATCACTACTGTCATTTTCTGTCTAGAATTCTATTTTGTATTCTTTTTACTATAAAACACCACAACTGAGGCCAATTTATTCCTACAAACCCTTCTAACTTCTGCCGCTTGGGTCAGATGTCTGGGGCCTTCTGAACAAGACATAACATTTTGGTTTTAAGGCCTCTTGTGGGTAGCCCTGCCCGAGGAATGTGAAGAGTGAGGCAGGAAATCCCCAGAACGCTGGGCTCTCCTGGCCTATATGAGGTGGGCAGTTAGTTAAGGCCTTAATGTATGTCTCCATAGACAAAATCTGGTGGATCCCAGTAAAAGGAATCTTAATATAGCATATTTGTTATAGATTTTACCTACATCATTACCTGGGTTTTGATATCTTCTAGGAAAGAACAAATTTTTGAGAAATTAGAGCCTGTATAATCAAAGCACAAGCATTTGAGCTAACAGGTTAATGTATAAACTTTTTAAAGGACTAGCAATTGTAACCCAACTGACTTGCAAATCTCTTTATGAAGTCTGACAGTTTGCTATGAGTCCATCTAGCTTTAGTTACAGTTATCTCGAAATTTTGAAGACTTACGAAAATTAGATTGGAATCTTGTCTTTACTGTCAATGCTTTTCAGTAATCTAAGCACAGTTTGGCATATTTTCCTAGTTGTACCTTACGAGCAAACAGTGACATCAGCAAGTTATTTTTTTACTCGTATGTTCTTGAACTCAAAATTTGTCTCTAATAAGAGAATAGAGAAGCATGTTTGCCTTTTAATTGAACAGCATCCATAAATATTGACTGAAATCATAACATGTTCTTTTAAAATGTCTAATAATTTTTACCAACTAGAACACACACAACAGGGCCAGCCAAATAGCTCAGGGAATTAAAGAGCCTGCAAGCAGGTGAAGGGGCCGGGGGTTTGATCCCCGGGCCTGCCGTGCCAGCCCTGCCCTCTTGGGGTGCACTGCAATGATGACTGAGACTGGGCATGGTGGTGCTCGCCTGCAATCCCAGCACTTGGGAGGCCATAAACAGGAGAATCACAGGTCTATCTATGCAGTGAGACCCTGTAGACCCTCCCCCCAAAAAAAAATTAAAACACACAATATATTATAAAACATGAGGCAATGTTACTTTTGTGAAATATAATCTGAAAGTTCACACCTGCATTTACTACTAGTATGAAATACCTGCATTACATGTGAAATCAAGCAGACCAGCTTAGCCCCTCATCATGAAATACACAGCATTCAGTCAGATTAAGCCAACGTCCCATTCAGGGTTTTGGCTATGGCCCCCATTGGAAGCAAGGGCCACTGCCAAGGGATTTTTTTCTTTTAACACCATGCCTGAGTTTTATGTTCTAAAGACAAGGCCTGGCTGTTTCTGTAGACCCGCAGACATTTTCTTACCAGCATTGTCCTTTGGAACATGTTTTAACTAGTGAAATACTTTTTAAATCTTATACATGAACAACAATGCATAGCATTTGTAAAAACTAGTCTTAGCATAATGTTGATTAGTTAGCAACCTGAATATATATTGTGGTATCTCAGTTACAGCTAAAGCAAGATGTTTTTTAAAGTCTGGTTCTATTGAAGTGCAATGACTGGAAGGAAAGTCACGGTTGGAGAAAGACAAAGAAACCTGTACTGATGTCCCGCAATAGGCTGGTTTTATTTTGTTTGATTGGGTTTTTTTGTTTGTTTGGTTGGTTTTGTTTGTTTGTTCGTTTAGGAGGCAGGCACAGAGCACTTCAGTCCTGCCGGACCACCCGGGAAGCCGCGTCTGAGCTCTGGGGCCTCCGCCTCAGAGTGCAGTCTCACTTCCAGTGGCTGCCCTGGCAGCAGGGCAGGGCTCGGGGGCCTCCTGAGGCAGTCCCTCTGATGCTGGCCTGGCTTCCGCCAGCAGCAGCAGCAGCAGCAGCAGCAGGTGAACCTCATCCGCAGATGAAGCTCACTGTCCTCGAGCTCTTCTTGGAGCCCAGACAGTCAGGCTTAGGGGCTGTTTTGAGACTGCGACAAAGGCAGCCATTTTTTATCTCTTCGCTTTCTCTCCCTGGTTTTCGCCCAGTTCTGATTATAGAATCAAAGCATTTTTTACTAAAGTATCAAGTGAATTGTCTGGAGCAAAAGCTTTCTTTTGTAGCTCTTTTCTAATGTCTGGAGCTGACTGATTAATGAACTTATCTGTAAGAGTAATCTGTCTCTCTATTGAATTAGGATATAGGGAAGTATGCTTTACCAGTTCCTCTATTTCTTCTTTAAATTGTAATTTCTTTTTTTTTTTAATTTTTTTTGTTTATTTATTTATTTTGTGTGTGTGTGGCCAGCTCAGCCCACCAGGGGGCGGGGCTGGCTGGCATGTGGTGCTGGGGGATTGAACTGCAGTCCCTGTGCTTAGCTTAGCTTAGCTTGTTCTAAGTAGGTGCTTTAGACCACTGAGCCATCTCACCAGCCCCATAAATTGTAATTTCTTATGAGAAAACAAATATACAACTTGGAATGGATTGGAGGCACATCATGCCATAAGTAGATTTTTTAATGTGGCTAAACAAAGTTTAAAAAGCAAGTAACAATAATGGAAAGTGTTTCTGGTACAAGCAGTACAAAAAAAATAGTGTACGGGTACCTGGCTGACACGCCTGTCTTGCAATAGTGCGACTCTGAAGTATATATTTTTGACTGTCCGCAGCCACGCAGAGTTACAGCGCCACACTTCAACAACCACATGCTAACAAATCCCACGGAAACTACTCTTAAAAAGGCATAACCCAGAGGTTCCCTCACTTGAGCAACTCCATCTAAGCTTAGATGTGCAGAAGGGCTGCAGTACATCCAGATAAACCCACATGCAATGTGCTACTTGATCAATTTTCTAAAATAAGGTTTCAGGACCATGACAGTAAGAAAAGGGAAGAAAACATGGAGGAATGAAGTCCTAATTACTATGCATGCATATGTTTTGGCAGTAGAGGGAAAGCTTTTACAGATAAGTTACAAACAAAGAAAAAGCAAATAAACAAATTTGTACAAGAAATTTAACCCATTCTGTACAGCATCTTCACTCTGCTGTCACCATTTGTACAAACTCTTCGCAGTTTCCTTGGCCATCACCGTCAGCATCTGCTTCCCTGGTCATCAACCTCCTACTGTTGACTTTTCTCCAAGGTCCGTCATCACATGGCTGCCCTAATATAACCATCGCCGTCCTTATCAAACACATGGAAGGCATCTCACATTTCTTCCTCACTGCCTGTGTCTTTCCTTTTTCTTGCCAGCATTGTCAGAAATTCAGGGAAGTCAATTGTACCGTTACCGTCCGCATCTACTTCACTAATCATGTCCTGCAACGCTGCTTCTGTGGGATTCCGCCCTAGAGACCTCACTACAGTTCCCAGCTCCTTTGTTGTTACAGTTCTGTCACCATCCTTGTCACATAGCGGAAAAGCTTCTTTGAATTCTGCAATCCGCTCTTCAGTCAGTTGGTCAGCCATGCTGCAAGCGCTACTCGTTTCGGAGACGCAAACACCGAGCTGCCTACCAGTTCCTCTATTAAACATTCTAAGAAATCAGAGGGGTGTAATCTTTTCCCAGGTAAACAGCCGAAATTTAATAACTGAAGGCTTGGTTTTAGTTATCAGACCTTCAAGAACACACACTAGAAAATACTTTTATTACAATCTCTGCCTATTAGTCCACTAGGGGTCTGACTGCTTGGTCTCCAGCCAGTAGTTTCACTGGCTGCCTATTTTCTGGTTGTTTAAAATTAACAATACGATATTTATCTCCAAATGCAATACCAGCTTATAATGCGGCCTGCCTTTTCATGGAAGTCAAAGCTTGGTTTAAGATTAACATTACATCTTATAATCTGAATAAATCCTCTAAAGACATCAATGCACTTATCAGGGTCATCTAAAGATTTTTTTAAGATCTGACTTTTTCTGTTTTAGGTCACAAGGAAAAAGGCACATGAACTCTGGAAGTTTTAAACTGTCTTTTTACTTCTTTAAAGGGTATCGGTTCAATCCCCAGCACCACATGCCAGCCAGCCCCGCCCCCTGGTGGGCTGAGCTGCCCTCCCCCCCCCACACACACACAATAAATAAATTTTAAATAAATAAATAAAGGGTATCATCCTTGAGGAGTGTGCATAAACCCAGCGAGGTTGGTGTAGCCCTGTAGAGGACAGGAGTACAGTTGGTCTAGCAGCCTTGTCCTCTAGACTAGAAAAGCAAGTAGGGGAAACCTCACTCTCCGTCATGGTGGGTGAGGCTGCGATTAAGGCTATCTTGTCCTTGGGTTCCAAAGGTCAGGAAGCAGCAGCCTTAGGCTCCAGGATAATGAAGGCCTTAGGCCCCCAAACTGCCCGGTTCTCCTGTAGCTCACATCTACATTTCAAAACTAGGTAACAATAACTTTCCTAATGCAAACAAAATCTGATGACACTTGGTCTGGTGACAAGAACGTCTTACAGAAGGAAGCATAACTATTGCTTAAAAAGGTTGAGTTGGAAACAGAGCCCCCCCCCCCCATGCTGTAAAACAGATCATCTTTGGAGGTAGACAAAAGAGACGATTGACTGGAAGAACTTGGCCCCGGGCCCTAGGGCAACGAAATCTCCAAGACACTTGAGTGTCTTCACCTGGTCTCCAGGGCAACCTTTCCTAACAGGACTAGGCTATATTAAATCTTTGGAGCTCGTGGGTAAAACCTCTATTTATCAGCTAGCAAGCACATTTTACACATTGGCAAAAACACATTACTTTAAGGCTCACAAAAATCTTTCTTACTCTTAATGTGTAAGGCACAGATGTGAATCATTTCCCTGACAGCCGCTGTAGAATATCAACTATTGCAAGCTGCCTCGGCTTAATTTCTGAAGGAGGGACTCTTTAAAGCGTTCTACTGAAAAGCTTAGGTAGAATTCCTAGTTTATTAGCAGAAAGAGAGAGGAAAAAGTACAATAGGTAAGGGAAGATCTTTCAGTGGTCAAGAGCCAGTTTCCACAGAGCACTTTCAGGCATCATCCAGAGAGTCACCCTGGCCATGACCCCTCAGGGGGTGTCAGTTGCTAGTGGCCTACGCAACCAGAGCTCAGGCTCCAGATTTTACATGCTTCTAAAAAGGAAAGTACAAAGAGGTGGGAAATCAAGAGTATGGTCAAAGCAAGGAAACTGAAACAGAGCAGGTTTGACATTCTCTCTAGCATGTAGAGGGGGATCAGAGCCAGTCTGTCCCAGTGAAACCTGTCCTCCATGTCTTTAAGAATGGTTCCGAGTGGGCAGGGAGATAGCTCAACAGCGTAAGTGCCTGCCTGGCGAGCCCAAGGTCCTGAGTTTGATCCCCAGTACTGAAAAAAAAAAAAAAAAAGAATGGCTGCCGACCTAATGTAATTTAGCTGGCAAAAGGAGTCCCATGTTTTGTATACAGGCACGTATATTTTCTAAGTCTGAGCTAGATTTTCAAAGTGCCTTTTTTCAGAAGTTCACATAAAGTCCACTAGGAGGCTTACTAACACTACTCTCTCTAGTGCTATTATCTAGTCAAGCCAGGAATATCACTACATTTAGCAACTAATTCAAATGCAACATATACAAATACAAAACAGTCATAAAATTCCCATTAAAGAAAATCAAAACATTTCCATGTTTTAACTTAGATTTACTAACACATTTTGACCAACATTTTAACAACTGCGTAACGAATTTATCTGTGTACTGAGAGGCAGGCATAACTAGTGGGTTCTGAGGATGACGGTTGGGGGTCATGGGCTGCTTCTTATGAGTTGGAGCTGCCAGAGCGACCATGTGGGATTGGCCGGTCATCCATGGATAGCGTCCAGAACAGCAGAGCTTAAGTCGTTTTGGAGGGTCAATCCAAGCCTGAATGTAAGGAATCTGTCCTGGATTTCCGAAGATGACTCTCCAGACCTGGTAAGCAAGAGAAAGTTTAAAGGAGCCTTCTGGAGGACAAGCGGCCTCAGGAAAGAGGGCCATTTCGATTCACAGAAGGTTTGGAGTTTTCTGAGGGACACAGAGTCCGTGTACTGTAAGGCTTCTTGTCTGAAATACTAAAAATGATTTAGAACACATTACAGGGGCAACAAAGATGCTGAAACAGAAGCAGACTGACACTGACCCACAGTTATTAGATAGACAAATGACAATCGGCTGAAACACACAGAAACAGATCCAAGACTCGGATTCGCCACCACGGAGCAGAGTCGAGTCCAGGGGCTACCATTACCTCTAACACCTCCTCGCACTCCCGGAGGGGCACCCCAACAGGACAGATACAGACGTCTTACTGGTAATATCTCACAGATGGCTTGGTTTGAATGACAGAATTGGTGAGTGTTCAGAGACCACTCTGGGGCCGGAAAGTCTCCGCGGTGAAATGGTTTCTGAAAACTCTGGTTCCTAAGAGTGATCCTCAGTAAAGAGGATCCTGGACAAGCCCCCAAATGTTATGGGTTACTTAGCGTAGCAGCCAGATAGGCCAAATTGGAATTTAAGAGCCTTTATTACTGAGCTCAGAGCTATCACGCAGGGAAGACTGAGCGGCCCCTAGTCTAGGCAGCGAGGAGTTTTAAAACAAAAAAATCACATGACTAAAGGGTCTTTCACAGTTCAGCCATACGCACAACTTGCCTGTGTGGGGGCTGGCTGAGCAAGCTGTTCTTACAAGATACATCTTTCTTTTTTTCTTTTTTTTTCACGATGGTAAATTTTATGCTGCATTTACTATATAGGTAAATGGGAAAACATGGATACATTTGCAGTGAGCCCCCAACATAACTTAGTCGCTCACGTATTAAGCCCCTTATGCGCAAAACAGCACAAACACAATGCAGTGTCTACCCTGGTGCGGATCAGTCTAGTTAAGACAGCCAGATCACTACTAGGTGGCGCAGCCGCCCCTTGGCCTCCCAGGTCCACGGCGGCTATCCTCAGCAGGTCCTCTGTGAACAACCAGAATGTTTCAATGCTGTACGATTTGCAAGCCAATTTGCTCTTCACTGGTTCTATTTACATAAATTAAAAACATTCAATTTCCTACAAAACACATATTTTGGTTACCAAGTAGTTCAAACTACTACGGCAGAAAACAAACAAAAAGCCCAGAACTAGACAGCCGGGCATGGTGGTGGACACCTGTAATCCCAGCACTCAGGAGGCTGAGGCAGGCTCGTCACAAGTTTGAGATCAGCCTAGGCTACAAAGTGAGTTCAA